TATCTGCTACTCGTTCATTAGCTCATTTATAAAGCAGAGAAAAGCCTCTTCACTTAGTATATGCAAATATGGTGTGCAAATGTCTGCAGTGGAGAGATATGCTGATATTAACTGAAAAGACAACCGTGGTGGTGGATGTGTGCAGGAGGGCAGGAGGAACGGTGCCAAAGATTTGGAGTCTGGACCCTCCAACCTGACAGCCTTTGCTGGCGGAACTGGTGAAATAAGGAAGCTGGCCCTGGGGAGGCAGGGAGGACCCGAGGAGACATACGGGCTGAGGGTACTGGGCAGCTGCGGGAGACAGGGGAACCCTGGGCCAGCCACTCTGGGTCACATCACTTCAGGGTAGGTGGCACACAGCCTGCTTCAGGACTGAGACTCAGAAAGGAGCTGGCCTGGCTGATGGAAACTCCAGGCGTGGGAACATGGTTCTGATGTGCTCAGCTGTGCCAGACAGGACACTGAGATTGAGCTGAGTACAATTGCCACAGAGCTCCCCACCCCCCAATGCCTCCCATGGTGGTGAACTGCATTGAAATCATAGTATGTTATTAAACCAATAAGATGTAAGAACAGACAAATGTGGCTAAACAGTGGCATTAAAACAAAAGCAGCATCCCTAGGGGTGGGGAGAGGTGACGGCCCTGGGGAGCCACCTGCATCACTCTCACACCATGCTCTGCTCTGTGTGTTTAGCACCAGATCCAACAGACTTTCCCAAAACTGTGCCAAGACCCACAATGGCAAGTCATACCTTGCTTCCGTCTACCCAGGGCATCACCAGCAGTCAGCCAGTGATCACCCCCGGCAGCAGGTGAGTAGAGCTGGACCCCAGCAGACCTTTCCCCCTGCTGCCCCTGTGACCACTCCCCTCAGGGCACTCTGTCAGGGACCCCCTCGGACACTCTGAGGTTTCCTGGCAGGGGAGAATCAGCATCCTCTGCCCTGGGCCCCCTCCTTTATGCCTCTGAGTACTTAAAGAGCTCCCCACTCCCCAGGAAGAACCTAACAAAGTTCTTCAGCTGGGCGGCAGGAGAGAAGGCTCTGGTCTCCTTCTGACCTACCTCCCAACTCACAAGGACCCCAAAAAGGTATAGGTGGTTCCAGCCTCAACTACACCATAAGGGAACTGCTCTGTGTTCCTTTCCTGTGGCTGCTGAAACAAATCACCACCTACCTGGTGGCAAAAGACAAACCAGTTTGATGACGTAAGGCTCTAGAGAGCAGAGGTCTGACATGAGGCTCCCTGGGCTAAAGTGAAGGTGCTGGCAGGGCTGGCTCTTCTGGAGGCTCTAAGGGAGAAGCACTTCCTTGTCTTTTCCAGCCTCTTGGGGCCCCCAGACCCCCCGGCTCGAGGTCCCTTCTGTCCTCACAGCCAGCAGTGGTGGTCGAGTCCTCCTCACACCACATTACTGTGACACTGGCCCTCCCCTGCTCCATCACTTATACACACAGAGCTGGTGACACATAAGGTCCACCTGGATAGCCCAGGATAATCTCCCCATCTCTAGATCAGCTGGTTGGGAATCTTAACTGCATCTGTATCATGCACTCCCCCTTGCCATGTAACCTACCACATTCACAGGTCTGGGGGTTAGGACATCTCTGAGGGGGGTGTTACCCCACTCACAGACAGTCAAGGGTGGGTATCTGCTCTACGGTACCGGCCCTTCCCTCCCCAAGTGCTAGTGCAATGCTGGGAAGAAGTGGGAAGCTGGGATTCCTGCTTTCTCATATTCCCAACATGGTAAAAGGTCTGGGCTATCAATCTGAAGCTGATCTCCTAAGAAACATTCAAAGATAATCAATTAGCTGTTTCATCAAAGAGCATCATCAAAGAGGCATCCAAAGAAGAATCAGTTAGTTCTTTCTAAGGTCAAATCCTCTGCCCCAGTTTCATCCCATCAGAGGCGGGGTGAAAGTGCATTCCCTCCCTGGGTCCCACCTTCCGTATTTCCCTCCATCAGCTCCCATCCAGTTCCAGTCATACTTTCTTCCTGTCTCAAGTCCCCTGTTCCTTGGAGCCTGGCTCCACCAGGCAGTGTGTTCAGTATCCCTCTGAATGAGGGCCTGGAGATTTGATTGGAGTCTGGACCTAAATGAGGTGAGGCACTTGGCTCATGCTTTACAACCAACTGTGTCCTGCTGGTGATGTTTGGAGACCAGTTGTTCTGTTGAGTGGGAAGCGGAGGATGCAGAACTTTTAGGAGACCAAAGAGCATAGGAGAAGCCTGTGGGGTGGAGAGATGGGACAGCAGCTCCACAGGGAGTGGAATTTGTGAAAAGAGCACAGTGACTTAAAGGATATTTTGAGGAAGTGCAAAGCAGCATGCACTCTCTCCAGAACACCACCTGTGAAATCCACATGACCCGTCACGCTCAAGGCAGGTAGAAGGACAGAGCAAGGTGGCCTACACAGGTCCTGGCCCTGCTGGGGGAGGAGGGGATGAGGCCAAGGTGAGGGAGTCAGACTCTTGGACACTGAGAGGGACCACCAGGGGGATACATGTAAGCAAGGGCCATTGTCCTCCTAGATCCCGTGTCCACTAAACAGGATATAAGAGAGAGTACACCTCATATGTGCTACCACATGGGGGTCAGAGCTGAGAGAAGCCCCTACCTGGAGAACCCAGAAGGTAAATATCCAGATGAACAGCGGTCGAGAAATTTCTTCTCTTCAAATTGGGAATATTAGTTTTGAGCTTCAAAGTTGAGCAGAACTGACACAAGGTGGGACAGAAGTAGGATGAGAAAGACAGACCAAGAAAAGCCTTGGGCTTGGCTGGCCTGCAGGTGAGGTGGAGGGGAATTGTGGGGGAGCAGCCATAAAGCAAGATGAAATCAGGGGCCATGGGTGCTGGACCCCAGGCTAAGCCTGCAGGGAGGCCCCTATAGATTGAGCCTTGGGCAGCATGTCTGTGCCCTCAGAGGGGCTTCCCTGGCAGGAACCAAGGCTGCCTGCCTGCAGCTCTGGGCTCAGAAATCAGGTCAGGAAGGAAGGGTCTGGGCAGCCCCTGAAGAGGGAGCTCATGCCTTAAGAGTGAGCTCACACCTGTCACCGTGTCCCCTGCACAGGGTCCTGCTCTGCAACCTCAGCTTTGCGCTCTTGACCTCTGTGAAGGGGTCCCTGCTTGGATTCCTGCTTGTACTGTGATGTCGCTAAGCTGGAGTCAGGGGACCCAGGGGAAAAATAGAGTCAGACTGAGCAGGAGAACCACGGCTCCTGTCCCATTGGCACCCCCACACCCTCTGACTTCTGAGCAAGGAATGGCAGAGGTTTCATTTCCAAGAGAAACAAGAGTCCTTGTTAGGTGGGGACTCCCCTTGTCCAGACCCCAGGAATAGACTGGTTCCCTCTCTGCTCTGCACAGGTCGGGGACCTCCTCCGTAGCAGCCCAGAATCCTCTGGTGTGGATCCTCCTGGTGCCACTCTTCCTTGGGACCCTGCAGTGGCTCTGCCAAGGATAATGGCCTTTTACATCATTCAGGACTCTGGCCAATGATGGCTTTTACAATTCCAGACCAACCAGGAACCATAAAACTGGAATTAAATCCCAAAGCCCCCGAGTGTTCCAATGGCCAGAGATCCCTGATGGGCCAGGAGTACAGAGGTTGCCCATTCCACCTGCTGCTGATTCAGTGCCTCCTGCAGAAAGAATGCCTGAGTGTTAAAGATTGCAGACAGAGGTGAACCATCCCCACCCCACATCCTATCTGTTTGTTCTATGCATTTCCTATTAAATCTGTAGCTTTCCTGAGCTCTTTTGAGATTATTTTGTTGGGATACTGTTTCAATGTTTTATATGTCAGAGGATGACCTGTGCATTCTAGAAGGTCCCATGTGACGCTAAATCCAACACTAGACTTAGAATATATCTGGCAACTGGGAGGTTATGGCTATAAATCTGTCAAAACTCATTGAAGTTACTCCTTTTCAATGTGTAAGTAATGAGTGGTTAGTGGGAAGGAGCTTTGAGACAATGTAAATAGCCACGTGTCCCTGTATCTACTTTGGTGGCCTCCAAGGACAGAGGACTCACCCAGTGATCCCAAGAACAGTTCATTTCTGTCCCTCCATTGGTCCCTTAGCCTCCCTGGTCCTTCAGGCGCGGGTCTTGAGGGACAGTTTGGACTTCTCCATCCAGACAGGACAAATGAGGGACTCAGTCTGTCCTCTTCACACCTGTGATGCTGTCCACACTCCAGCTCTGACCCATCATCAGCCACTCCTGGGTTTGGATTCATTTTGGGGCTTTCCAAGATTGCTCTCACCCCCCACACCACCCGCCAACAGTACAACAGCAAGTCCAGGATGCCCAGCCCTTTGGGTTTAACTTCTTCCCATTCACTCATTCAAAACTAAATCACAAGACTTTTTCTTTTTTTTTTCCTTTTTGTATATTTTTATTGGAGTTCGATTTGCCAACATATAGTATAACACCCAGTGCTCATCCCGTCAAGTGCCCTCCTCAGTGCCCATCACCCAGCCACCCCCACCCCACGCCCACCTCCCTTCCCGCCACCCCTTGTTTGTTTCCCAGAGTTAGGAGTCTCTCATGTTCTGTCTCCCTCCCTGATATTTCCCACTCATTTTCTCTTCTTTCCCCTTTATTCCCTTCACTATTTTTTATATTCCCCAAATGAATGAGACCATATAATGTTTGTCCTTCTCCAATTGACTTACTTCACTCAGCATAATACCCTCCAGTTCCATCTACATCGAAGCAAATGGTGGGTATTTGTCATTTCTAATGGCTGAGTAATATTCCATTGTATACATAGACCACAGCTTCTTCATCTATTCATCTTTCGATGGACACCGAAGCTGCTTCTGCAGTGTGGCTCTTGTGGACATTGCTGCTATAAACATTGGGGTGCAGGTGTTCCAGCATTTCACTGCATCTGTATCTTTGGGGTAAATCCCCAGCAGTGCAATTGCTGGGTCGTAAGGTAGCTCTATTTTTAACTCTTTGAGGAACAAAGAAAGGAACAAAAGGAAGTAGAGGCACAAAGTTTATTGTCTACAGATCTAGGGGAGAGGCACCCAATGAGCCTGGGAAAAGGCAGTCCTCCACCCCAGACCGGGAGCAAGCTGGAGACCAAGAGCAAGGTAGTAGCTCCTCTTGTATATACAGTGGTTAGGGCAGAGGCCATTCATTCTTCATGCAATCAAATCTAAGTGGTTATTTTAAATGGTGCCCCAGGAAGAACAAAGAACAAAGCAAGAACTCAGGGAGGAATTCTAAGCTTTGGGACTTATTTAAACTTCTAGATATTGGGTGTGAGCAGGGTTGCCATACTGTAAAACACCTGGGCAGCACCTCAGAAAAACAACAGCAGATTTGTTCTCAAAAGTTGTTTTAATCTCCCCATATGGCCATGGAGAATGTTTGCTTTTTCTGATCGATGGACAGCTGGTTCTTCTTCAGCTGTGATCCAGTGGTTTGAACAAGGATGGCACAACTATTCAAATCAGCATCTGGACACCATGACTTCACGAAGGTCTCCCACCCTGGGCCATAGTGACACTGCACGATCACTTGCAGAGGAAAGTAGAAGCAAGGAAATAATGAAAAAAAGAAAAAGTTAATGAATTAGAAAGAAAATATAAAATAGAGAAGACCAAAAAGCCAACAATTGTTCTTTAAAAATAAACAAAACCCTACGGCCACCTGGGTGCCTCATTGGTTGAGCATCTGCATTTGACTCAGGTCTTGATCCAGAATCCTGGGATGGAGTCCCACATCAGGCTTCCTGAAGACAGCCTGCTTCTCTCTCTGCCTATGTCTCTGCCTCTATCTCTGTCTGTCTCTCATGAATAAATAAACAAAATCTTTTTAAAAATAATAAAAATTTAAAAAATCCTAGCAAGATATTTGTGATAAAAGGATAGGTCTTCATAATCAATATCAGGAGTGAAAACAGACACATCACACAATATTCTGAGCCTATTAAAAAAGGAGAGTTAATAAGGGGAAAGGATAATAAAAGGATATCTAAACCAGTTTATGCCAATAAATTTGAAACTTTAGGTGCAATATGCCAATTTCTAGCAAAAAAAAAGTGATATGATAAAAGAGGTACAAAAAGAAATAGAGAACCAGAATCATCTTATGCCTATTTAAAAGAATCACATCCATTATTAAAAACTTCTCCAAGGGGCACCTGGCTGGCTCAGTGGGCACAGCTTGTGACTCTTAATCTCAAGGTCTTGAGTTCAAGCCCCACGTTGGCTAGAGAACTTACTTAAAATAAATAAGTATGAATAAAATAAAGCCTGTCCAAAAGAAACCTCCAGGCCCATAAAGCTTCAATGGAGATATCCGCTAACATTTAAGAAAGCAGTGTCTGTCTTACACAAAAAAATTCCAGGACATAGGAAAACAGGATGCAATTCCAAATCCACTTAATGAGAGTAGCATACTCTTGATGCCAAAACCTGACAAGGGCAGTATGAAAAAGAAATATTATAAGTTAAAAAAAATCACTATTCAACGCAAATGCCAAAGTCTGCAACAAAAATACAGCAAGTTGAATCCAAGGATATAGAAGAAAGATAGTACATCATCACCAACAATAATACATTGCAGATGGTACTATTCTATTTTCTGCAGGAGAACTTTATCCCAAGAATATAAAATTGTTTGAACATAAGAAAAACAGTAAGTATAATATGCACATTAATTGAGTCAATGAAAAAAATTGTATGGTCATCTCATAGATGCAGAAAAAGTATTTGACAGATTTAAACAGGTTTTTGACTGGGGAGGCCTTCCTGGACCTCAGGAATCAACCACAGCTCACGCACTGTGCTGGGCCTCTTCCCTCTCAGACTGGGTATGGAACAGGGGGTAGGAAGAGCCACTCTGAAGTCCTGGCCCCAAACTCCAAAAAGAGCAGGGACACGTGGGCACCAGAGGTCCAGGAAGGCATTGACAAGAATTGGGGTCTCTGGGTCCCATGGAAGATGGTCCCTTTGGCCCATGGGCTGAAACTGGGACCATCACCTTGATCTCTGTGGGCAATAGACTCAGGCACTGCACTGTGCAGAGAAACACGTGCCCAGAAAGGCTTGATCTTGTCCTGGAGGATACAACAGTAGCCATGAGAGCATCTAAGAGAAGCTCTGTCCCTCCCAACCCAAGAGGTCACCTGGGATTCTTGGAGAACTCAGGACTCAACCATCCTGTGTGACAATTCTCTCCAAATGACACTTAAGTCACTGGAGAGGAACCTCAGGGACCAGGACAGAGCACGTTCTGAAGAGACTCATCCACACACACACATACTCTTACCTGGGTCAATGGTCACTTTAACTTCAACCCCAAGGTCAGTTCCAGACCTCTCAATCCCACACCAGTAGGTGTCTGCACTGTTCCACCTGAGCTCCTCCATGGTCACGGTGAACACACGCAGTTCCTGATTGTCCTTGATAGACACTCGGTCACCCTTTGCTTCCCTCTCTGATCCATCAGTTTGAACTAGGATATGGCAGCTTTTCCACTCAGCTCCTTGACACCACCACTTATTGTAAGTCTCCCATCCGGGTTCATAGCGACACTGCACAGTCAGTGAGCCCCGCACTGGGCCACTCACTGCATCGGACACTGCCATGAGGGCAGGTGAGCCTGAAAAACACAAACCCAGGTGCCTGTCACCACCCCACCCCACCCCCTGAAGGCAGACCCACAGCCTCCTGCATCACAAATAACTCCAATAAGCCCAAGTGCCTGATGAGTTGAGTAACAGTCAAAGAGGGGACACACCTTCCACAAGACAGACCTTTGTCTTTCAAAACTCCACTGGGTCAAAGCCATCACAAAAATCCCCTAAGAGCACAACTATCCATCTCACTGAAACAAAAATATCCACACTGAGCAGTGACAACTTCCTATAATCCAACCCTCATGGCCAATGTCACCTGGAGAGCAAATGACCCAGGGGAAAGCACGGCCCCAGTCCATTTCAGCCCAGTCTCCTCATTGAAGATGTGGACTCTGTGGTTTTAGATCTTTTCATTATTCTTGAGTAGCCAGGTATCTGGATTTGGCTCAGAAACTCTCACCTTGAAAATACTGGTGATCAGCACATAAAGAGAACAAAGGAATTTCCATGTCTTTAGAATCCTAAAAATTATCTACAAAACTATCTGGCAAATTCTTTATTGGGACAAATTCTTGATTACATGAAATTGTTTTCCCCTGAATATCGACTATTCAAATTCTTTGATGGTTCTTGAATCTGTTCTATTGGTTTGGTTCCTTTTCCCAGAAAGTTAATCTATTTCACAGAGTATTATTAGCATAAACCTCTACACTTAGCAAGTATGCTTTTATAATTAAAATGTTAGCCTCTGTTTTAATTACACATTCAAACTACATGTGACATCTGATTTGGGTGGATTACACCTGCTGTGGGATGTCCTCCTCCTGTTTCTCCTCCTCTCCTCCATGTTTTTTCTCCATTAAACCAGGTTTGAGATTAGTTCGTGTTACTGTTTTTATTTCCTGTCATTACTTTCTCATATGTATAATTTTATTCGTCTTCTTTTCTCAAGAATACCACTAGTGCTCTTTTTCCAACTGTTAAGTTAAAGACAATGAGAATTTTCTACCTTTCTAAAATGAATTAAAGCATTTTAAGGCTAAGAATTTACTTTTGTTGACTTTATAGGTTGAGATATAATTCACATATCACAAATTTTAAGTGTAGCTTTCAGCGGTTTTAGGACTTTCACAAAGTTGTGCCACCATCACCTCTAATTCCAGAACATTTTGTCACTGCAGAAGGAAACCCTGTACCCCTTGTCGTTCCCCACTTCCCTCTTACCTGAAGCCTTCCACAACCACGGATCTACGTTCTGTCTATAGATTTCTCTATTCTGGACACTTCTTATACATGGAATCCTTCAATCCATGACCTTTTTGTCTGGCTTCATTCACTTAGTGTAATGTGTGTTAAGGCTCATCCATGTGGTAGCACGTGTGGGCACTGCAGTCCATGGCAGGGACTGGCCACATTTAGCTTATCCGTTCACCAGCTGATGAATCATGGGTTGTTTGACTTTTTGGCCAGCGAGAATCTTGCTATGACCAGTCATATACTAGTATCTGCATTGACTCATGGTGAGGGAAGGTGATGCTGTGTTTGCAGCCAAAGTCCCAGGATGGGTTTTCTCAAGAGTCCATAAGAAGCTGCTGTGATTCTGAAAATTCTCTGAGAAAATGCCACTAATTATCTTCAGTCTCCACCAGCAGAGTAAAGGTTCCTGGGTATGTGACAGGAAGCCACTCTGAATCTCTCATCTACCCAAGCCACTTTAGCTGCCTCCAGAGAGTGAGGCTGTTCTCCCGCCTTCTAAATCTCTGACACCTGCTTCCACGGACAAACTCCATCCCATTGAAAGAAGAGGACTGGAGGAAAGGTGATTCCCAGGTTTGGGGCAGTGATGCAGAAGAGGACTTAGAGGGGGTGGTAGTGATGTCAAAGTGACAACAGATGAGCTAGCGCTGTTCACCCCTTGATCAATTCTGCCTCTAGATTGTCGAGGACAATGTTTGTATTATCCCTAAATTCCTATGTTGGAGTTGTAAGCTCCAACGGGATGGTATTGGAAGATGGGGCCTTTGGGAGGTCATTCGGGTTAGAGGAGATAGAGATGGGGACGTCAAGATGGGATCGGTGCTCTTGTAAGAAAAGTCACCCGAGAGCTTCTCTCTCCTTCTTCCTCTCTGTCTCTGTCTCCTGATCTCCCTGTCTCTCCTTGCTTGGGCACAAGGTGAAGGTCACTGTGAGAAGGTGGCTGTCCTGAAACCCAGAACGAGAGCTTTCATGACTAATTGAATCTGCTTGCACTTCAATTTGGATGGCCCAGCATTGAGAACTGTGAGAAAAGAAATTTCTCTAGTTTAAACCACTAAGCCTGTGGTCTTTTACTCTTATGACTCATATGCATATGCAACCCTCTTATGCACATGAACTTCCAAGTTAAGAAAATAGTAAGACACCCATTTTCCCAATAGGTGTTCTGCATAAGACTCTCCCCATCAGAATGTTTTACCTCTATACGTATCTTAAAGAGGTCAATGGATAAGTAAATGGGTTCACTTCATTTCCCATGATGACTTCCTTCCCAGAGGAGACACTCTCTGCAGCCTGCCCTAAGCCCTGTGTTTCTGGAGAAGGAGAAAGAACAGAGCTGGGGGGCCATGGACCTTGCTCCTGCCTCCTTGGAGCATCAAGCGTCAGCTGCCCCCACGGATTTGCCATCCAACCCAGAAATAGATATCTTCTCATCTCTGGTCTTCCCTCCCTGGTGACACTGCTCATTCTGTCTTGGCTGTTGAGCTGAAATAACTGGATGAGCCTCTGGTCTTTGGCTTATCCAGAGAAAGACTCAAACAGTCTGAATTGTGGTGTTGAGTAACTCTCCAGAGAGCTTATCACACCCAGGTTTTGCTGCCTGTCTTCCTCCCTCTACTCTGAGCTTTTAAGAAGAGATGATCTTGACTCTAGCTACAAGTCAAGACCAGTTGTGCAGGCTTTTAAATGATCCAGATGTCTGAACCCCGCTTGACTGAGTGGTTGTCAGCTAGAGCCTGAGATCTGGCTCCTTAAATATTTCTCAGGAATTAGTGTTTGGTATATGTGTATATATGTGTGCCTGTGTGCATCTACCTATCATCTGCCCATCCATCCATGTATCCATCTATCCATTCATCCATCATCTGTCTATCTATCTATCTGCCGGGGATGGAGAATGGTGCTGTAGAAAATAGACACTTGTGTTACTTATTTTTATTTTCTTTCCCCCAATACCTAACTTAGTACCTTTCAGGTAGCAAAAAATTTTTAAAATAGAATTTTAATGAGAAAATGTCTGAATGAGTGAAAGGCCTTGCCATTTCCCCTAGGAGAGACCCTATGTCCAACCCTCGCCCTGCAGATGCTCCATCCTGAAACCCCCATCCCACTCACCTTGGACTACAGGAAGCAACAGAACTGAGAGAAGCCACATGTCCTGTCCTGCCGGCCTGAGTTGTCTTCCTTGTGCTCAGCTAATAATGCCCACTGCCCTCCAGGACTGAAACTGAGCTCAGAGGAAAAATGCCTTCTATTTCTCTATTATAGTTTCTCTCATCTACTTCCCTTATTTTTTTTCTTCAGTTATTTCCTAATTTCAATAATTAGGAGAAAGGCAGTGCCAGATTTTGAGAGCCTATGACTGGCATGATTTGTCTCAATGATGAGGGAAACAAGTGTCCCACTGGCCAGGGTGCCACTTGCCACTGTTCTTGAGGAGCTGGGAAGCCTGCTGCCAGCAATCTAAGTGACACCGTGCCACAGGCCCCAGATACCTGACCCTCAGAGTGTCGGTCCAAGGAAGTGGTAGGGACAATTGGATTTGCATACGGAGAAGAATGCAGTGCTCAGGGCTCACACTCAGCCTTGCTGGACAAACAGCCCCATCCTAACCCTCCTTCTAGGCAGCCCACCTCAGTGCATCCCAGACCACCACTCCTGCCCTTGCCCTGGTCCAATCCTGAACCTGACCCTCAGGCTTCTCCTCGAGATTCTAAGTTCCTCAGATATAGACATGCCACAGGGAGATTTTAAGGAAGGAAAAGTGACTGTTTCCTATCAGCTTCATTGTGCCCTCCATGCTTCCTCTGCCATCTGTTGGGGTATTTCTGCTGGTTGTGGACCAAGGCCACTTCCCACCCCCAAACTGCTTATGTTAACGCCCTCCTAAGTGACTTGCCCACAGGGCTCCCCTTTTCCTTCACATGTCCTCACTTCCCTCTGTCCTCTGCCTCCTTTCCCTCTCCTCTCTGAGTTAATTCTTCTGTCTCCCTTTTCTTTTATGTTAGAGGTTAATTCTACTTCTTGGGAAGATTTGGTTTGGTTTTGTGTTTTTACATCTCTTCGATCCTTGCATGAAATGTTTAGTTTAGGAATTATATTTTGATTTCAAAAGCTCCTTTTTAGTTATCTGCTTGCTGAGGTTTTTAAACTCTCCTCACTCTGTGGTAATATGTTGATTTGGTCTGGTTTGGTCCTTCTCTCTTATATCCCACACATACCTCAAATGACTGATCGTTGTTGGTTAACTGATTGTTATGGAGAATGAGCCAGAACATAGATGATTGGGGCTCTGAGCATGTGGGGACAACACAGCATGTGAAACAGGGGTGTCAGGGACGCCTGAGTAACTCAGTGGTTGAGTATGTGCCTTCAGTTCAGGGCATGATCCCAGGGTCTTGGGATCAAGTCCCACATCAGGCTCCCTGGAGGGAGCCAGCTTCTCCCTCTGCCTATGTCTCTGGCTTTCTGTTTGTCTCTCATGAATAAATAAATAAAATCTTTTAAAAAGAGAAAGAAACAGGGGTGTCATAGTGTGCCAGTTTCTTTGAGCCTTCCATCCCTTCTTGACCTACAGCCTATGCCTTCTTGGTAGAGAGGAGAAAGGTCTTCTAGAAGAAGGCTGAAGGTGGCCTCTAGCATCCTCTCTAGCTGCCTTGGATTCCCCAAATATTTTATGAAGTTAAAGACCCTCCTGGGGGATAGACTTGTGATGAAATCAAGAATTGGCTTAATGGACTGAGCTACTGGGGTGTCCCCCTATTAAGAAAGCTATATTTAAAGGATTAAATAAACAGAGTATAATGGTTTGGAGAGGTTTCCCAGTAAAATTCATTTTATCATTTTATTTTTTTAAAGATTTTATTTATTTATTTATTCATTCATTCATGAGACAGAGAGAGAGAGAGAGAGAGAGAGAGAGGCAGAGACACAGGCAGAGGGAGAAGCAGGCTCCATGCAGGGAGCCTGATGTGGGACTCAATCATGTGACTCCAGGATCATGACCTGGGCTGAAGGGAAGTGCTCAACCGCTGAGCCACTCAGGCATCCCCCCGGTAAAATTTAAAACCTTTGTATTGGAGTGTAAAAGATACACAGAAAGTGCACACATCAGAAATGCACAGCCCAATACATTTGCACAAATAAAACACACCTATAAACCAGCACCTAGATCAAGAAAGAACTATTCTCAATCCCCAGGAGGCTCTTTAACTTCATAGACCTCCCAGTCTCTCACTCCAGCTGTATACACCTGACCAGAGCCCCTAAGGGAGCACCCACTTAGAGAGCTTTGGGGGAAGATCCCCGCCAGTCACAGGCCGACCCCTGGAGGGCTCACGCAGGGCACTTCGGAGGAGCACCTGCAGGCCTCCAGAAAGCTGAGCCAGCGCACGTGGCAGCACAGCCCACGGAAGCCACATCAGCACTTGAAGTCCTAACCTCAGCAGCTGGACTGCCTGCCATCAGAGAAACGGAAGTCCTAGTTACAGACCCTTCTGGTGAGGAGATAGCATTGCTTTGTATGTTTGTGATGGTAGTTCCCTGAAATGGTGTGTGTGTTTAACACGTAGAACTGAAATCCACCACAAAATTGTACCACATGTAAAATTTGAGAAGTACTAAAGACAAGAAGAAAAACGTTTCAAACTGTACACTTTAAGTGGGTGCGGTTTATTTTATCAAATTACACCGCAGTAGAACCTGAGAAAGGGTGGGAGGGAAAAGTTTGGAGGGAGGCCTATGTTCCTGCCCCCCCACACACACACCTTCATAAATTCTTTGTCTCAGGTGGAAACCCCAAGGTTCGCTGACACCCCAATCACAGAAGCCTCAGCCCTCACACGTGGACACAAACAGGTCCAGGGGCTGAAGGCAGGTGGCCCCTAGATGGGCCACTTTGGCATGATGATTACTCTGAGCTGAAGGCCCTCAAAGACACCTCCAGCTCCAGGGAAATTCTTGCCCCTCCCTTATCTACACAGAGCATTCTCAGTTGCAGAGTCTTTGAAGAATAAGGGTCATTGCCAGGGATAAATGTTATCTGAGTAGCCCAACTACGGCAGGGCAAATATTTGTTTACCAAACATTTACTGGTTTTCCTCTTCCTGTGAATTGCTTTCCTTCTCTTTGGAGTCTCAAACCTCAAACCGCTCTCTTAATTCAGGATGACATCTGTACCCCATGATACCCGACTGCCATGTGTGTGTGGATTCCCCACACATGTGCTATTAAATTTGATTTCTCCTGGTGATGTCTCATGTCAATTTGATTGTTGGTCTAGCCAGAAGGACCTTGAATGGGACAAGTGCTCTTGCCCCCCAAGAATGGGGTGTGACATTCTCGCTCTCAGACACTTGGTGTAGTCAGTAGGATTCTTTAACTAGAAGAACACCGCCTACCCCCGATGGCGCTGCAGGTGAGACATTCTTGGGACATCCGACAGAGAGCCTGTGGCAGGTGAGATTGCTCCCCATGTCAGCGTCCTGGAATTGCTATCTGCCCAGGCAGAGGGAGCAAGAGTGATCAGAGTCCTTTTCTTCTCTTTCTCAATTTAGATCAGCAAGAGAAAATATTGTGGAACCAGTTCCTTGGGCTCAGGGACTGTTTGGTTCAGGTCAGTTGAGTACTCTTTAGTTACTGATCATTTCATCCCAGAGGTGGTCTCTGTTTTCCTTGGTCTATGTCATTTATGTTGTTTGTTATCTGTCGCTGAGTTCCACTATGGAAGCCAAAGCAGCAAAACTGGTGGACACACAACACACAGTACTCAATCCCATGACACATTCCTCCTAGATGTTATTTTGGTTCCAAGATACCCAAGGCTTAGATCAACCTGCTAGATTTTTCCTCTGCTTTTCTTCTATGTCCTAAGAGTTTGGCTTCACGACCAGTGAGAATATTTTCTTTGATCTCCACCATCTAGAGGGTGCACTCACCGGGAGACACCTTGGTGCCAGTGGACTAGAGTGGGCATCCAAGTCTCTTTCTCTCTGTCAGGTTGTGCCAGTTCTCAGCGGTGTTTGTCATGAGAGGCTCCAGCCCATGAGGACCTTTGTGGTCTCAACCCTCATTGCTTGTTAGTGCTGGAAAGTCCCATTCCAGAATCACCCATGTGATGTCACAGATTAGAGATCTGTGAGGGGAGGAGTCTCATATTTTCATGGGAGACTGCAAACACTCTTTCCACTATACTGCCTTTACTGCCTGTGTACTAAAGGCCTTTGCTTTCTTAACAGAATTTTGGGAGTAATCTTCTGGATCATGGAGACTGCACCAACTTTGCCCTCTCTGGACACCTCTTGTGTCCTGGGTTAAGCCACAAAAAGCTTATTGGTTTGAGTTGCTAGTAATAGATCCTGCCTGTCAATGGCCAGATGATGGATCCTTTCAATTGGCTATATTTTGATCCTTTCAATTGTCCTGTTAGTATCATGGCTAGCCTTAAGGATTCCCTTGATAAGATAGAAGAAGTTCAACTTTAGGACAAGCATAAACATCCACATCTGTGTAAATTCCCCTTTGTCTCTTCCTTGTTTGTTTGAGTTTCATTGAGTTTTTCACTGGCATTAGTCTTGGTTTTTTGTTTGTTTGTTTGTTTGTTTACCTCTATACATTAGTCAGTATTTCTCACAGTAAGTGGACTCTTCATGCCCTTCCTCTATTCTACACAGCCCCCTACCCCCATCCTCTCTGGGAGGCATCCCTTTGTTCTTTGGAGTTAAGAGTCTGGTTTCTGGTTTGTCTCTTTATTCTGTGTTTGTTTGTTGTGTTTCCCCTTAAACTCTGGCCTCAATGCCTGTATTAACTTCCTTTCCCTACAAAACTCACGAAGATCACTCTGGCCTGACCTCTAGGTTCAAAGTACCCAGGTTGCTCCTATAAATGCTGAAAGCCCAAAAGTGAATTTGACAACAGTTCCTGGGACTGGCAACAAGGCTTCCTTTGCTCCTACCTTCCAGGGCCCTGTACTCAGGCTCTGCTCTCCTCAAGAATTCTTATACAATATGTTTGCAGGTGTATCCTGGACACCTCACCACAAAAAATTCATGTCCTCTGGACAGCAACAGAGCTTTTAAATTATAACGTCCTTTTACCTCTACTTTCAGATACTTCAACCGCATTTAGAGAGGAATTACAAATATTATTTGACCATATTTACAACCCTCTCTTCACAAAGGAGATAAATGACCAAAATTTCTCCTATGTCCTCCTATAA